AAAAAAAAAAAAAAATTTCCTTTCCACAATTCACAGACTACTTGAAATAAACTAGTCATCTTTTGATACAAAAAAACAAATATGGGTGCACTAATTAATAATACAATTGATATAGTTTCAATAATAAGGACAATACTATAATATTAAACTCAACTGAGAATTGTAACAAGAAGTGTTGTTACCCCTTGGTAACACAGGGTGTCCGCGGGTCCTCAAAAAGTCTTAAATAACGTTTTCCTAATATAAGGCCTTAAAAAGTCTTAATGACTTAAATTCGGATTCGATGGGTCTTAATTTTTTTTGGTCTCATTACCGCTAAAATATCTTCAGTCTTACAGACCTAATGACTTTACAATCATTGGACAGACCGAAGATTTTTTCTTCCCGCGGTAAGTTACTGCGTCATCAGAGAGAACAAACAGCTACAGAGTGCACGCATTACGTGAAGTCTAGTGCGCATGCGCTCTGCCTGATCACTGCATGATTCAGTCTATTAAAATACATTAAGAATGATCATAAATTCAAGACATGGGTCGCAGAAAATAATGTATATTTATACTCAAGTTCACACGGAAGAGTGCCTTTGTTTCTCCAAAAATTACCATATACAAATGTGATATTGATTTTTTACAATAGTTCAATAAACTAGAAGTTTTATTAAGAGACTTACATTTTAGACACCATATTGCCTGTTTTTGCTCTATTTCGCCAACAAAAATAATTCCAAACAAAGCCACAGCGCTGTTTTGTGTCTCTGAGCAACATGACGGTGTTTCGTTCCTGAATGAATCAACCGTTTAAATGATTGAACGGACGAAATTCCACTGGTGGTGGTTGAGGAGAGACCCCCCATATGATTGTAAAGGGCTTTGGGTGTACAACAATACACAATAAAAGCGCTATATAAATGCATCATTCATTCATTCATTCATTCGGTTCATTCGCAATGACTCACTTAACAGTGACTTGCTGCCACCTACTGGCGGTTTTAATTTCACATTTAAAGTATCTTTTCATTTTTTTAATTATTTCAAATATCAGTATTCAATGTTTTATGTTTAATATACCAAAACATTATTTATGCATTTGTAACTGCAGGTTAAATGCTTAAATGCATTGCAATAAACAGTGTGTAAACACATCTAAATGCCACTTCAGGTGCAGCTTATGTCTGGATTGCAAAGATGCAAAGATGAAATACTGATTTCATTTGCTTGGTAACAGCCCAAATGTCTTATTCTTATTCACTGATTAAATGTAAGAATTTGACTCAAAA